GGTCCCGTGCCTCTGAGGCTTTGCTCTGGCAAAGCCTCAGAAGCGCTGGAACCCGCCCGGTGCCCCTGGTCTGCTGGAGACGGTCTCCAGCAGACCAGGGGCACCGGAGCAGCTTTCGCCCCGACTTCCGGGGCTAGACCCGGTATCTATCTTCATTTTTTACATTTACCAGTAGCTGCCTCATTTCCTACCCTAGGCTTATACTCGAGTCAATACTTTTTCCCAGTTTTTTGGGGTAAAATTAGGTGCCTCGGCTTATATTCGGGTCGACTTATACTCGAGTATATACGGTATTCCAAAAACAGGATTACACGTACACATTTCACATGTGGCCCCCAACTGATTTTTCTGTGAGTCAGAGGCCTCAAACCAAACAAGGTTCTTCACCCCAATCAAGAACAAGTCATTCCAAACCCACCTAGATTCCTTCATTGACAGGGTTACAGCTCTGGGGGGAGGAAGGGGAGAGGAGAAGACTAGTTATAGCAAGGCTGATTGTAGCAAGGCTGTTGACACAGTCCCATATGACATTCTCATAAGCAAACTAGAGAAATGTGATCTAAATGCAGTTACCAGAAGGCAGCCACAATTGTTTGAAAAACCATATTGAAATTAAATTTAAAATGTAAAGAGAAGTTATTAATAGTTTGCTGTCAAACTGGGAGTGAGGTAGCTAGTGTGGTCCTGGGTTCAGGACTATTCAATATTTTCATTAATGACCTGGAGAATGAAATGGAGCATATGCTTATAAAATTTGCAGATGACATCAAACTAGATGGGGTTGCAAGCATATGGATTCAACATGACCTTGACACATTGGAGAACAGGTCTAAAATCAACAAGGTGAAATTCAATAAAGACAAATGCCAAGTACTAAGCTGAGAAAGGAAAAAAAATCACAATTACTAAGTGCAGACTAGCTGGCTAGGCAACAGTTCTGCTGAAAGAAATGTAGGGTATGTAATGGACCACTCATTGAATAGGAGGCAACAGTGTGATGAAATTACTAAGCGGCAAATATCACTCTGAGGTTAATTAACAGGAGTGTCATAAGTAAGATAAGTAACACAACTGTCCCATTCTGTTTGGCATGGGTAAAGCCTTAGGGAACTACTATGCCTAATTCTGGGTGCCACAGAATTAAGAAAGATGTGGACAAATTAGGGACAGTCCTGAGGAGAGCAACAAATGAGAAAAGGATTTAGAAAACCTGACTTATAAGGAAAGACTTTTAAAAAACTGGGCATGTTAGTCCTGGGAAAAGAAGACTGAGGGGAGACCTGGTAACAATCTTCAAGTACGTTAGGGGCTATTATACAAAGGATAGGGGCAAATTATTCTCCTCATCCACCAAAGGTAGGACAAGAATGGGCTTCATCTGCAGCAAGGGGGTATGTCTACACTACAGCACTAATTCAAACTAACTTAATTCGAATTAGTTAATTTGAACTAAGCTAATTCAAATTAGTGCATCTAGACCTAAAAACTAATTCGAACTAGCATGTCCACATTGAGTAGACCTTGAACCAAGGTTAAGGATGGCCGGAAGCAGTGCCGGCAGGGCATCAGATTAGGACTTAGAGTGTGGAGCTGCTGTCTCAGGCTAGCCAAGGGCTGTGCTTAAAGAGACCCAATCCCCACCCCGGACAGACAGTTCTCAGGGGTTCCCCGCTTGCAAAGCAGTCCTGGCTTGGAGTGCCCTAAGTGCCCACACTCGGCACATCACAGCACTCGGCCATCAGCCCGGCTGCACTTGCCGCAGGCTGCCATCCGTGGAGGTCATTCAGGGGGCTGTCAGGATCCAGGAGAGTTTCCACCCCGAGGAGCCCACAGAGCCACCCCCGCCCTC